GGACTCGGCCAAAATCGCTTAGGCGGTTACAGCGCCAAATAAGAAGAGAAGAAGAAGAATTAAAGCTTCTGCGGCTACCTAGAAAGTTCATGTGGGACCACTAGGCTAAGGAACTATTAGGACCGAGGATGAGCCTCAAAATACCGAAGAAACACTCGAGGTGCTACTCTAAGCATACTTACCGGCAGTACTCCCACAGTCGGAGCCATAAGAAACGAAAAGAGAAGTGCTAGATCCAATTGTGGAAGATTAAGTAACTCCGGGCTTTAGGCTTAGTAACTGATGGGTGTCACAGTAGGCAGATTTTGACTATCTTTCAGATGTACGTTTTTTTTTTTGGTTACAACTAAGATAAAAACCACATTACATTAAATTGGGATAACACTTACTATTTCCTCACGCTAGTACGGTAGACAGTAAAGCTGCTACAATGCCATGCAAACTGCTCGCACCTCTTCAAAACCATCCAGAAGTATAAAATAAGATCGAAATCCGTTCCAAAATGAATTAATTTGCTAACCGGGAAACTGTGATACTCAAAGCAGCCAGTTCGTTGAATTGCCGAACTACAGTTCTTTGGAGTATCCGAGTGGTGCGAAGGCAATTATAGGACCAATCATAGCAAGAATTGTCTGGTATATCCAGGAATAAGACTGCTAGTACAGTACTGACACTTACAAAAGAACCAAGTGCTTATTGTAGAGGCTGGGTAAAGTGCCAACGAAATTGGTATCTTGGCAGAGAAGGACGAACCTACGAGCCCTGATGGGACTGATACCGGAGCCTAATCTGTGGGAACGACATCTGGTTGCTTTAGATTTCATTAAGGACTCCGTGTACATCTTATTGGAGGACGAGTTAGTTTAAAAGCGAAATTTAAGCAGAGTGCCAATTCTGTGGTGGAATTTTAATCGCTGTAATTCTAGTAACAAACGCCCTAGACGATTTCTTTTTAGCTGGGGCTTTTACGCATTTCTTTCCAAGCCGTCCTGGGCTCTAACTTCGATGAAGTTTGGACGGCCCCTTTGCCGGATTCCAGTGGAAAGCCATCTTCGCAATACAGTTCTCTTCTTTGAGCGACCAATTCACAAAACTCCAGAGCTGTGGGAATCTCTTCTCGGCAAACAGTTTTACAATGATGAATAATTGGTGCCGAAGGTGTATACGCAGGAAACGTTCTGTTCTTTTTGTTGTTGGGAACTTAATCTCGGTGCTATACGAATAAAGGTGTAGCGCCTTCCTCCTGCCATTCGAGATGATAACGGATTTTCAGACTTCGTAAATATTTGGTTTCAGGTGAGGCACGAGACGTTGACGGCATACCTTCGTTAGTAGCTCAGATGATAGGGTAGGCCATGGCGGCCGATGGTTGGTTGGTTTAAGTGGATTGTCACCCCGGTAACAAGGAATTAGCAGCTTTAATAAATTTCAGTACGTCATACAAAGAGAGGCAGCTGCACTTTGAAATATTCTGCCGGAATGATTTGTAGAGTGTCTTTAGCCTCATCCTTGCGAATGCTGGACAGTCGTACAGCAAGTGTTCGACTATCTCTTTTGATCCCGGATCATCGCAGCTGCGGCGGAACCTATTGAAGGGCAGTCCAATCCTTTCGGCATGAACCCCAACGGGTCAGTGCCCTGTGCACACTGCAGTAAATTTGTAGGCATCTGTTTTGCTCATTCCTAAGAGAGCTTTGGTTTTGAGTGGTTCGTAGGACAGCCAGAACTGCCGGGTAATCCTGTACGATCCTGTGCAATTCCACCTCTACCTGGCCTTCGAATGATAAATTTCGGTAATTTTTGTCTTAATCTCCCTGAGCGAGGCTCCCATGTCCACCGCGTGGGGCACATTCAGTGTGGAGCCGCTCCTTGCTAGTTCGTCCGCTGCCTCATTTCCGTAGATGCCCCTATTTCCCGGGACTCATATTAGTGTAATTTCGTATTGATCAGAAATATAGGCCAGCTCTCTACTACACTCACTCAACCACTAGCTGAAATCTAACAGAGGTAGAAGAAAGTGCCTGAATGGCCGATTGGCTATCCGAGAGGATGTTCATCTGCGTTCTCGCTTGTACATTCGCTATGATGTACCTTTCTGCCTCCTTAATAGAAAATGTTTCGGCCTGGAAATCGCTTGCATAGTCTGGTAGGCGGCCAACACCAACTCCACTTTCCATCTTTGACCCATCCGTAAAGACAGCTAAACCAGGTCTTCGACAGGATATGGTCAGTGGGCAGCGCTTTAATTTCAGACGGTATTGCATCTAGGATGGAACCGTCTTTCCTTCCAGAGCCCCAGGGTACGCAGTCTGATGGCGCTGTTAGCAGCTGAACTCGGCGCACACTCTCTCGAAGAATTCCTTTCAACGTACATGTTGAGCATCATTAAATATTTAAACTGAGCCCTCTCAGGCTTAATGGCAGATACTATACTAATTTGGCCAAATGTTTGCTAATCTTAATAAATCATGCAAACATTTACAAATAAAAAACACAAATGTATTAATAAAGTTTCGAAATAAAAAATGTCTAAATTTATTTTAAATTTTATATTTAATTGTCGGCTCATAAAATATTTATGAAGAATATTATTACGATCCAGCACATACGTATGTATAAAAGAATTAGCATAAAGAAATGAAATGCACAGACATGTGGAGCTAACTACAAAAACTTCATGCATACAAAGTGGATACAGCACATGTTGGAGATGATGATGACGATGACGATGATGACTCATCTGACCTCTTCCCAATTTCGAAAAGCACACATCCACAAGTATATTTAAAAATTTAAATACATTTATACATACATACATGTATGATCTTCATCGAACAGGTGATCGCTACGCACAGGATGTTATGTGAGATGTGTGATTTGTTGTGGTTGCCGTTGTTGTTGTTGTTGCTACTTTTACAAATGTTTCGGTTATTATTAGTGTTGCTGTTGTTTGGAATTTATTGCCTCCCGTGTTAACAAACATACAATCACACATACGTACATACATGCATACACATCTGTACATATACCTATATATATGTTTCTGTGCCGCAGCATGTGCTTTTGCCGACTACGACGACATTCGTCGACGACTCCTTTACAGATTGATTTGGCATTTGACCAAAAAATTTTTGTCTGGAAACATTTCCGCATCTTCAGCATAAACGAAGGGAACACAAAAAAATGCACACACACACACACATTCAAATAAATATATGAATTTGTATACATTTTGTATAATTTACTGCTTAAATTTTATTTTTAACAAATCCGGGGAGTGTGCGGAAGCTCGGCGTGCGTGTATATGTAGTTAGTTGGAGCAGAAGTGGGTCGCGTTCATATGCAAGACAAGTGCGTTTTCATATCTCATATCTCGTTGCGATGGCTGTGCGTGCGCGGCTGATGAAGGGCCGCAATCTGAATTATGTAGACCAACGGTTCCCAAACGGTGCGACACATCGCTCCGAAGCGGCGTGAAGGGTAGACAGGGGCAAGGCGAAACGTTACATAGTACAGTAGAACTTTGTTAATCCGAATATGGTCTAATCCGGTCTCTTTTTCTTATTATTTGGTGTCGTAACCGCCTTAGCGATTTTGGCCGAGTTTGGCAAAGCACGCAATGCCAACTTTTTCTCCACTTGGTCTTTCCATCGCAGTGGGGGCCTCCATCTTCTCTCTGCTAGCACCAGCGTGCTTCCGAGTTGAATACTTCCAGAGCTGAGCAGCGGTGTCCATTCGAACGACATGGCCAAGCCAGTAGAGTTGCAAAACTATCGATGGCTCTATCGATAGTATCGATAGTTT